ACTCAAGGTATGCTGATGGATATTGGTTTGGTTTTCACTCGTTGTCACTTATATGTATAAATGAATAGATAGGAATGAATAAAAACAAAGATAAATTTCTAACGAACAAAATACAGGTATGTTTTGATAGTATTTTTATGATACTCAAGGTATGCTAATGGATATTTGTTTGGTTTTCAATGGTTGTTTGAGAGTGTGGGTGTGGTTGGGTTGGTGTTGGTGTGGGTATAGGTGTGGTGGGTCGTGGATGGGTGTGTGCGTGTGGATTTGGATGTGAGCGAAAAGAAGATTCCTAAACACATCCGCCCGAGAGCCATCTAACACCCGCACACCATATTCCACATTCGCACCTACACCCATCCACTTCACGACACACCCACAGCCACATCCAAACCCAAACCTGTACCCACAGCTACTCACATCCACACTCATATCCATACCCACAAAATTTAATTCAATGATGAAATAGATTTTTTGTTGAATCATGTAAAATTGTATACTCATCATATTTTGTACACCTTTTATGTGAAGATCATAATCAATCAATCAGAGACTATTGAAAACCCTTTTTTAATACAATTTAATTGGTAGAAAGCATTGGGTATTGATATCATATGAACTCAATAAAACCGGCGGGATAACTGCGGAAAACTGATGTAAACACTCAAAAACCGCCGGTTAACCAATGATAAACTCTTCAGTTATACGATCGGTATACCGCCGGTTTTTGAGCGGTTTAAACTACATGGGCAGTCTCTTCAATTACCTATTTCGACATTGTGCGCTAGCGTCCTCTATCATTTTTAGTTTTACATGCTTCTTTTAAAAAAAAAACTAAGAGCTGAATTCGACAAAGAATAATTTTCTCTGTCTATATATATTAAAGCAATGTCTAGCCTCTTCCAAAACCTAAAAGACCAATCAATGAGTATTTGCTATTGTTGCCCATATTTCACTACGATTTGTCGGCTGAACGTTCATATTATATGTAGATTATCTTAACTAAAAAT